GTTGCGGATTCAAGGGGGGCTCAGTCATCATAGGCCCCTTAATTCTTTCAAAATTGTAAATAATTGGAGAAAGAAAGAAAATTTTCAAATTTTAAGTCTGAGAGTTACATTTCCGACTATCTAGAGGTGCCATAATTGTAAATTTTCTTATTTTAGCCCCAACCATGGTGGAGCTGAGGTGGTATAGACCCTTGATCTGTCCTGGGCCCCTCTATTTCAAATTCCTGGATCCGCCACTGCATTATTTCATCTCGGTTTACTTTGATGTCATATACAGCAATTAGTTTTCATGTGTTCTGACATTGATTATCATTTTGTAGATGAAGGTGTTGTGCCTGCTGGACAAACAGCACTACAGTACTGTCTACATGCTCAGGGTACTTATGATGAACAGCGAGAAACAGCTTTGTGCTTGATAACATATGGTGCCTCAGTTTACCAAAAAGATAGTGTAATGTATAGAAAATAGAAATGATTCAGAAGGATTAGTCAATGTCTTTATTACAATAATATAAACATTCCTAATAACCAAAAGAGCATTGATTCCATTCTATACGAATGAATTCCATCACTTATTCTTGTACCAATATATGATATAAATATTGTGATACTGATTGTGTTGGTTATTCCTTTGAATTATTATTTTCACCATTATCATTTATAAATCTTCAAAGCTAAAATATTTCCCTTTGTTGTGCTGATGTAGTTTGCAGCTGCCATCCAGTGAAATATACTATAATTTTTTGTATGATCTTGTTATTACAGAGAGGGAATACACCTCTTGATTATTATGATCGTAATAAATGTAGTAAATACGAAGTATCAACAAAGGAGGAAAAGAAAGATGAACTTAAAAAATTGCTTATAGGTAAGTTATCTGTTGTATGTTAAATATTCCTGAACCTATTGGCAAAAATCACAGAGCTTGCTTTATTTGGAAGAACCATGTCATAAGCCTCAGCTATATAGCTTTCTAGGCATGGCTATACCTTAAGTACTAATAGCTGGTTGGGTGCCACCTTAGTGGACGTCTTGTGGGTCCTAACTCCATCCCCTTTTTTAGGATGCCTTTTTAAAGTGGAAGAAATAAGGTAAATATTTAATTAGGCAATCATATCAATTTTATTGTAAATTTAAATTAATTTTAACCAAGTATTGCATAAGATGAAAATGAAACATTCCTGTAAATAAACAATATATATTTTTAATATTAATGGAAAGCTCAATATTCTAAACTGTATTTTACTATGATTTTTATGCTTGAAATCCAGCAATGGTACAACAGCATATCCTAAATATTCCAAAACAATTTTATGACAGTATCCTGCAAGATGCTGGAAATACCACCTCATACTTCTGGAGAAAAAATATTTCTAATGTTTTGGACTTTGCCCCTGCCCCCTTGTTAATATCTCTGGATCTCCCATGTATATCCCATTGCAAGTGTACACTGCCCACAAAACTTGTCACTGTAAGAAACAGTAAAAAAAAAAAAAGTTACACCTATTACATGCGCTCGATGGATGCGATACATGCATAGAGGCTTTTTTGCATGGATGTACTATACAAGTCCAACTATTTATTTTTACAGCATTACAGTTATTTTGGTAGTCTGGCTGTAGCATATACCTAGTGGAAACATTGATCAAATTATCTGCATTCTACACAAACGATGAATCAAAAGTTTAAAAATTAGAAAAGTAAAGTAAACAAAAAAATCAACTTCAAAATAACATTTTGAGAATTTGAGGCAAAACATGCTAATAAATTAAAAAGGTTAAAAATTATCAATCATTGTTTCCTTAGGTTGTGGGTTGGATTCTTACCTGAGTCAGAGGGCAAAAATCAATCCTATGATATGCATATCGTTCATAGGAATAATACTGTATACACATGTAATAGAAAATACTATACATTTGTACTCTTATATTTCAGTTCCTTTTTTATTCTTATAGCTTTTTATTTTAATGTTATTTTCTGTTTGACCTGTTTATGCTCTAGAAGTAGTTAAGTCTCTCAGTGTTTCAACAACTTGATATAAATTTACATATTTTGCTGTGTTATTTTCAGAAATCAGTTTGTACAGTGATGGTATTTTTTTGAACAAAATAATCACAGTATGTTTAATGTAAATCTATAAAATGGATGGAAGAAATATGTAGCATAAGAATACTACTGTAGTAAACTAAATAATATTTGTTATATTTTATATCCATAAGAGCTATCAGCTCCAGGAGAAATATTAGCGAGAGGTCCTGAAGCCATTAAAGCATTCACATATGAAGTTCAGAATGGGGAAATTATGATGGTTAATTCCAGAGTCATGTTCCTTGGGAAAGAAGGGGTAGGCAAAACAAGTTGTGTCCGTTCCATGCTTGGCAAAGTGTAAGTACAAAATAAGGCCTTGTTTTTTAGGTAATTGTACAGTCTTTTGGCTTGCATTATTACAACATTCTTATAGTATCATATAGGTTCATTACTCCTTCTAGGCAACTGACTATCCAGGATTTTTTTGCAATTGTTTAAAGGATTTTATAAGGGCATTTCTGCCCATTGGCTCTTGATATAGCTGTAATTTTAAAAGGCTTTAATTTTCTACATAGTGTGCATTAAATACAGTACTACACCACACACACACACACAACACATCCCTATAACACAGTAGATATGACACCATTTTGTTACTGAGTGCCTCCATAGCTTGTTGCACTTTATTATGGCTATTTCAACTGTTATTCAAACACTAATTTAATGTTTGAATAAAACTAATGTAAGGAAACACTTGGCATAAACAGTAGTAATTATCCTATGTGCATTTAATTGTGAATATAGGCTTAAAATGCAAAACTAAGGCTACATTGTAAAGTTTTGATAGTTTAACATGCTATGTACACCGTTGTCATAAAATAATTCAATTTATTTTATTATTATATTTATCTAAATGTGAATAGATTTAACAACAATGAACCATCAACAGATGGTATTGTAACAACAACAGCATTTCAAATGGTTGATGGAGATTGCAGCGAATGGAAGGAACAGAAGGATGTGGATGGTATGAATATTATACTTCCTTAAAATATCAATAATTTAATTTACAATTTAACTGTCTAAATATTATAAATTGTTATTTTTATAAATTATTTTGATAACCTCTTTTTTGCAAAGAGAAGGAATAGAAGGATGCAGATTGTATAAATATTCTACTTTATTGAAGTACAAACAATTTAATTTACAATTTGTTATTTTTATAAATTATTTAATTTTTTCTTGAAAACATTTCAATATTGTACAGTTTGTGAACTAACGAGGCAGATACGTGAGCACTCCATCGCAGAAAATCTCGCTAAAAAGCTGAAACAGCCAAAACGCCAACAAAACACTAATTCTGCATCATCTAGTTCTACAGCTGCTTCATCGGTAAATTTGTTTTTAATGTAATTGCAAAAATTATTTTAATTAATTTAGTTGATGTTCTTTTAAATTTTTAATATGTATTTTTTTTTTAGCTCTCTGCCTAATAAGAAAAACATTACCTGAACAACTGGTTTAAATTTCTGCATAAATTTGAACGGATATAGATTAGTCATTTTTGAATGTTTAATACAGAAGCCATCAGAAGCAACGAGAAGTGCAAGCTATACCAGACTCCCAGAAGGAATTCATGAGAAACTTGTTGCTAAACTTGCTGTACCTGGCACTTTCCATCCTCGTACCGTATTTTCCCAGCCACGTCAAAGATTCAGATTGGGTCAACTACTTCGAAGAGCCATATTTGGTCAACCACGTCAAACAGCAGAGGTACCTAGCAGTTTTATAGCAAGTGATGTCACAAGCATTTGGGACTATGCCGGTCAACTGACCTATTATATATCTCACAGGGTGAGTAATAAATTCTACTGAAAGCTACATTTCAAAATTATTGGATGTTTTCTTTTGATTTGAGATGTTACTCTGGTGAGTAGCTAGGTAGTGGTACTTTGATGAAAATGCCTGCCTAGTTCCACTCCTATCAGGGGCGGATCCAAAATTGTTCAAATGGGAAGGGAGGTTGGTGGGGGGTGGGGCAAAATATATCAGAATAGATAAGCGAGTAGAACTAATTTCAATATATGCATTGAAATTTTAAAATTTAGGGGAAAAACGGGAGAAGGGGGAGGGGGGTTGGTCGTGGCTTTTTGGTTATAATCCTTTACATTATTTTTTGCACAACTTAAAACAAGTCCAAACTCTACATGAGATTTAGTTTGATCATCACAATATTGAATTTATTTAAAAAAGCTCCTAAATATCAACTAAATTTCATTCCTTAACTGGAAGGTCACCATCTATATCCCTGCTTCTCAACCTTTTTCAGGGGGCGACCCACTAAATCTATGCTAGTATCATTTGATATCTATGCTATAACAGTTCTCTCCTAATTATTCTGGTATTAAAGATACTTGCAGTCTGCTGCTGTATTGTTAGTCAGCCGTGGCTAACAAAGTGCCTGTGATAATTGTTCAATTTTTACCAAGCACAGTTCATGAGGCATATTGTCTTTGGTCATGTGCAGAATGTTCCATTTTATAGTAGGAATATTTTTTGAGACACTCGTTATTTGAAAAGTTTAAATAAAACAATATAATTTAGTGAGGTTGACCGCCTGATTATTTATGATTGACTGAAGCTTGTGTGTGCACCCACCCCCACGCAAAAACGTGCGCACGTCGGGTTTATCTCTTAATTATTGAGTCCTTTGAAGGACTGGTATGTTGAAGTACAGTATCTGACACAATTAAGTTCTTGAAAGCTTTATGAAAGTCTGCCTTTTTTCTGAGGGGCAATTTCACAACCATCAGATATGTTTTGGCGACCCGACACATACGTTGAGAAGCAGGGCTCTATATGACTCAAGTAAAACAATAACCATTAATTTTTTATGCTTTTCAGAGTACCTGTATATAGTAGTTATTTAAATATCACTTGTTAAGTGACTTAAAACAGTAATAAAATCATTTTCAGTGGTTAGTTTTAACAGTGATAATTTAAATATTTTTAGGTTTTAAATTTTGTCTTTCTTTCCAGTTTTTCTTAACAGATGGATCATACTGTGTTGTGTTTAGTGTGTTAGATGATTTGGATGCTCTAGCAAACCCAAGAGATTTCTTACAAGTAAATACACCACTTAGTCTTCACTGCAGATGTTTAATCTTAATTAGTTTTATTGCATCAATTAATCTCATAGCATTTTGAAATATATGTGACTATTGTTTACATTTTTAGGGACAATTTGAAATGACAAATCTTCAGATGAATGTATTTTGGATGCGGTCAATATACGAACATGCTGTACTACCCTATCATGGAAGGACACGGAAGTTGATCAATGGCATATCCTCACCCACAATCAGTTTAGTTGCCACACATAAAGACAAACTGTTAGGGACTGAGTCAGAAAAGGACAAGTTGGTGAGGCATTGTCTGTTTCATAATGGAATTATAGTATTTTTTTTCTTTAATTCTTCAATAAATTTACTTATGTATTTTCAATTTTGCTCACAGATCACAACCAAGTTCAAAAGAATATTTGATGAAGTCAAAGGAACACCATATGAAAGCCATGTGGATCGCGAGATGTATGTTGTAGATAACACTGTGCGTATGGATGAAGGGATTGAGAAATTGAAGAAGAATATCGGAGGATACATGAAGACTACGGCTAAACCTATTCCCACTACCTGGGTTGATTTCCAGTCCAAAGTACAAGATGTTGGAAAAACAAGACTTCATGTTTCCTTAGATGAGGTAATATGCTTCCTTATAATATTTATAACTAAATATTATTTGATGAATATGATTTAAATTACGCAAATTAGATCCAAAAGTCCAACACTACCCATCACATAAATTCTATTCCTCTTGCTTCCTGATCTGTGATTTTATGAAAATTGATTACTTTAATAAGTGGTTCCTTTATTGAGTCATTAAAATTTATAGTTTTAATTTTTCGATATAAATCAAATTTAATGATTGTAACTGCAAAGTTACCATCACATTGGTTTATCTTGTGTACTTTTTGTGTTTTGTATATATTTCTTGCATGCGTTTGTTTATTGAATGGAATTCTCTTCTCATTCAACATTTAAGGTTGCAGAAATTGCATCTGAATGTGGAATTTCTAAAACAACGCTCAACACTGTCCTCGATTATCTAAACGACACTGGAATAATTCTGTACTCTAAGACTAATGAGAAATTAAAGTACACGGTTATTACGAACTTACGCATGATGATCGATCTCTTGACAAAAATCATCACAGTAGTGAAACCAGATGATATTGACAGGGTAAGCAATGTAACAATCTCATATAAATTTTATTTTTTATGTTGCTTAATGAGGAGTCGCATGCATCTTATTGTTCATATTTTCTTGTAGTTGCCTACACTGATGCATTTATGGAATAAACTCGACAGTGAGGGAATTCTACAAGAAAAGTTGCTACGTCATTTGTGGAGACATGAGATAGAGAAAGATCCCAGCAACTTTGAGGTATTCCTTGAACTGCTTAAGATGTTTGGGTTACTGTTTGAGAAGCAAAAGGTAAGCTGGTACTTATGGTTTAGCACAAGAAACTCTTTCATAATATATATATGCACAATTTTTGTACAATAATTATTATTTTTATACTTTCAATTCAATTTTATTCTTCAAATGCCATCAAGGGACAAAATCCATTAAGGATAACATTCACAGATACACACACCAAAAAATTATGAAATATATACAGTATAAATATGAATATATTTCCAACAATTTGTGGGCAAGGTTAAAAGGAGAAGGCGTATAGACAAATGAAATTGTCGGTTGTTGAAAACATTTTGATGAGAACTGTGAAATCGAAGACGGGTCAAGAGAGAGAGAATAGGTAAGCCTCAAGGAGTGTAAAAGAAAAAGAAGAAGCGAAACGGGATGTGTGACAAGGAACGGGAAGAAATGCAGAGTGTCGGGAGTGGCGGAGAGACAAATCATTATTTTATAGGACTTGTACCCAGTAGCGCACATATTCATTTCAGAAAAATCCACTGAAGTAGCTTTTTTTTATTGGATGCAGTTTAAATTATTATTTTATTTTATTTTTTTATTTCTTATTTCACATCCAACAGCGAGTAAATTGCGCCACTTACAGGATTAGAATGATGCTTTATAAGTCTCTTTAAGGCTTAGGCAGTTAGTTTGTTCGTGAGAAAAAGACCTGCCGTGACGGGAATTGAATCCAGGACCCTGGGATAACAACAATACTCTATAAGCTGCATAAAAGCTGTCTCTTATACACATCTAGATGTGTATAAGAGACAGCTATTCTGATTCTATTGCTGATGCTGATTCTGCTGCTGTTGCTACTGCTACTGATTTTGTTGATGTTGCTGATTAATAATTAATAATAATAATAGTTAGATTTGTAAAGCCTATCATGGAAACAAGCCTCTATGTGCTTAGTGATTGAGCCAGTTGAGGCGCCAGTATTTCCCAGATCGGCTTTCCAAAGTCCCTGACGAGAACAAAGTGGGTGTGGTCGAGCGTTGCTAAAAACCTTCCAAAATAGTCCAAGTGGCGAAGCCCCCAAAAATATGACTTATTTAGAGGTTTCAAATTCTTATTTAATCAATTTTAGAGTCTCTTGATATGTAAAAAATATATAATAATTTTTTCCCCAATAATTTATGGTTTTCTCCCCGACGGCAAAAGACTGGACGCAGTACTGTATCTGTCTCTTATACACATCTAGATGTGTATAAGAGACAAGAGTATACATTTGTATATTTAATGTTATAATACAGGTATTTGTAAGCCTGTACATTGCTTGGTATGTCATGCTATTTTTGTGCCAGTAAAAACATTGTCAGACCAGGCAGCTCAATGTAATTTTATTGCCAAATAAATTGTAAGTTGAAATACAGCTAGACCTCTATGTCATCCAGAACAACCCTTAAGCTGGGCAACCAGTGCACCCAGTGGACTTCAGACACAAGCCGTGTGCACCAGATCACTTTTAATGACGATCCGTCCACGAACAATTAGCAGACGGCTTCGCATTGCAGCGCTCACAGGGAACGAAGTTGCATTTGTAGTGCAGTCCGTGCCAAGCTTTAGATAAAAATTTGTGTATTTATATTTATTTATTTTATGTGCATCCACGACCTCTTTCCAAAAGCAACCCATTGACTAATAAAATATCCTGTATGTTGTCTTATAAACAGATTGAAATATCACATAGGATAAGTTGATGAACATGGCAAAGAAGAACCTCTCGAACCACATCCTAGCATCTGCATGGAGGTAAGCTTCCGTAACCAAATTCTGTTTATTTTTGTCATTTTTAGTTTGGCGCAGCTGGTGTGGTTCTGTGTAAAAATCAACCAAATGGGGTAGGAGAGTTGCTTATAGTCCCTGATATGGTCAAATGGAACAGCTATTTGGGTCATAGCTTCAGTGTTGTAGGGCGTCCAATGGCTTTATAATCAACTTTAGCCTTGTTCGCTGTATTATACTCTGGACTAATTTTACTAATTTCCTTTATTTTGACGATCTGAAAATGAATTGACTGATCACCATTTAGGGGTCTTGTTTGCATTCCTGAAACACCTACAAAATTGACATTGTACACCTTGCAACCATAAAAAATGTTCAGCATAATTTTATTTGATTTTTATCAGGTATTAAGTTACCTCCGTCAGCAATTGAAAACTGTGTATGTTACTACGGAAGGAGTTGGCTATGAATTACGCATCCTTTGTAATGCCTGTGATGCTACGTTGCGACCGCTGCATAAACTTGAGGAATGTTTGAAAAAAGATTGTGTGCCATGTGGAAAAAAAAAGTCAGTTGCAACGACTCGTATCAGACGACTTTTTTCAACAGGTTGTTATAAGAATATAACTTGTTTATGAAAATGGTTTATATTTTATATTGGAAACAGAACGGTCGCTAAGATAATGATTTATGTTCTGTTGAATAAAGGAAACATTAAAATTTAAAATAAATAAATAAATAATATTAATAATATTTCGTCTATAAAGTAAGTCAGAATTCTCTACAAAGCTACAGGTTTCATTAATTAAAATTAATGTGATTACAACTGTATGTATCAGGGATGGATGCGGTAACAACCGAATATTCAAATTATAATTTGGGGAACACTCTAACCCTCCCTCTTGGATCATAAGTCTTTTTTATTTGTGCTTTCCACACACGCCAAAAACCCTTTGACTCTACCCTTGATGTATTCAATTCTATATTTTATTGCGGTGGAAAAGACATCTCGGAGGTCATAATGCTAGATGAGGAGTGTCATTATATATGTAAGTAAATGTGAAAATTATTAATTTTAAAAGCCGAAAATGTTATGATTTTGCTCTACAGGTTTTGATGATAGCTCTACACAAGGAACCTTGAATTTTCTGGCACTTCAGACATTGATTGTTGGTCGTGGAACCAAAGAACTACGGAGGTACTTTCTAGACAAAACTAACCTTACCAAACCAGAAGTTATACCATTTTTGACAAGGGAGAGGTGTGCATTACTAAAGGATGTTGATTTTGGAGATGATTCAACAACAGTGTTTTCATCAACCAGCAATATTGATGCATTCCATATGGACATCATGATAAAGTTAATTCGCTGCTGTTGTCACAACACTAATAATACAGAAGACTTCTGGGAGAACCCTCCGGTTGATGACAATTCTGAGCTGGCAAATCTTGTCCGCATCTATCAATATAAGAAAACTGTTCTAGACTGCAGTTATAGCAACAATGTCACAAAGGAGGTGTTTGATAAGCAATGGAAGGAACTGACAGCAATTTTTACAGGTGTTGGAGTTCCTGTTGAAGACATTGAGAATTACCGCAACCAATGGCATTACAAGGATGGAGCCTTGGAAGGTAAGTAACTAGTCTTATTAATAATAGCTGCTGCTGCTGTTAATGCTGATTTTGCTGTTGATGCTGAGTCTACTGCTACTCAAGCTGATTCTGCTGCTGATATTTCTGATGAAGATGCTGCTGCTGATACTGAGTTTACTTCAACCTATTCTGATTCTATTGCTGATGCTGATTCTGCTGCTGTTGCTACTGCTACTGATTTTGTTGAAGTTGCTGATTAATAATTAATAATAATAATAGTTAGATTTGTAAAGCCTATCATGGAAACAAGCCTCTATGTGCTTAGTGATTGAGCCAGTTGAGGCGCCAGTATTTCCCAGATCGGCTTTCCAAAGTCCCTGACGAGAACAAAGTGGGTGTGGTCGAGCGTTGCTAAAAACCTTCCAAAATAGTCCAAGTGGCGAAGCCCCCAAAAATATGACTTATTTAGAGGTTTCAAATTCTTATTTAATCAATTTTAGAGTCTCTTGATATGTAAAAAATATATAATAATTTTTTCCCCAATAATTTATGGTTTTCTCCCCGACGGCAAAAGACTGGACGCAGTACTGTATATAACATTTGACACTATTATGTTCTAGTACTACACTTAAATCCGCAAAAAAACTTGACTAATGTCGCTGCTACTGATGACAGTGATGTTGTTTCTATTGCTGATGATGCTGATTTTTTCTGCTGCTAATACTGATTCTTCTAGTATTGATTTTGCTGCTGATGTTATTGCTGCTGCTGATTTTGCTGATGGTAATGATATGCAATAAAATCTAAATGAATGTTGTGTATTAAAGGCATAATTGTAAATGTGACAAATTGAAATTAATTAAACTTACTCTTCCAAATTATTTTAAATTTTCATTTCATTTTTGACCAGAAATAGGTATTGGGCACACTGTCATTGAAGAAATCAAGAATTTCCAGGCTGTGTTATCGGCTGTTGTTGATGTTGGAACTGCAACCATGAGAAATTACATATTGGAGGTTAACAATATTAACAAGAACGATGTTGGGAATTATCTACTTTCCGAGAAGAGAAAGGGTAGCTTTAATAAAGTAATGAAAAATATCAGTAGAGAGCAGAAGTACAAAATGTTCACACCATCTGCTGACATCGATACATTTGATATCTCTATCATGTATTTAATAATTCGAAACTGCTCCAATGGCATTCCAGAGTCATTTTGGAAAAATCCAGATAGACTGCCTAACTTGGTGCACATCCACGACTACAGGAACACAAAGCTGGCACATTCTCCCGACAGTAGAATGTCAAACAAAGAATTTGAAATTGAATGGAAGAAAGTGAGATCAATGTTGCATGCTGCAGGTGCTTCTTTAACTGACATTGACAAATATAAGGCACTAAGATTCATCAACTAAATGCATAATTCTACCCATGTTGAAGGAATATATGAATTCTTGTATGTTCATTAAATTTCTGATCACTCACATAATTTTGGACAGTATTTAATATATCAAATATACATAATATTGTTTAAATTAGTTAAAACTGTAAATGTGTTTATTAACGTCTGTGTTTTAATATGTATTGTTGTATCAGCATCACTTAATGCTAAAGCTCCTTAATTTTATTGATAATAATAATAATACTAATGGTAGACTTATATAGCGCATATTGTTAAGCCCTGTATGGGCTTCACATTATCGTTTAATACCGCGGTCATTGGATTAAACGTCTATTGAAGAAGAAATTCGATTGTTGCAACATCAGTGCATTTGGCATTAAACCCTACCAGGTACCCACTTACCGTATACTCCTTTGGTGGAGAGAAGCAATGAAGATAAAATGCCTTGCCCAAGAACACAAGTGAAATACACAGCAAGAAGGATTCAAACCCCAAACTTGAGGTTGGCAAACTAAATTTATAATTGAAACTTATCAATTAGTGTCAGTAGCTGCAGTGAGAAAGGGTATTTACGCAGTTAACAATTGAAATCATGTACAAAATATATGAATTACTTCCTTTTAATTCCATCATCTTGAAACTGTAAATAAGTATAATTCCAGGTAAGCAATACATGTAATATTATCAACATAAATCCAAAGGTAAATAATAATCCAGGTAAGTAATATTCACAATACTGTATAAGCTGCATAAAAGTGATAATTGATGATCTGAACAGTAAACTGAACATACAGTGGACTGAACAGTGAACAAGAAATAAAACTGTAAGAACTGGTAAAACAATGGTGCTCTCTCAATGACTGCTTCTGAGCAGAACAAAGGAAAACTAGAGCCAACTGTGGTAAACATCACCTGAACTAAATAATATGCAAATATCTAAGCTGTAAAGTTAGTGAATAACTTAATGGTACACAGCAGAGTATATCTGCAGTTACAAAATTGTTCCCGCTGTGATAATAAGTCTTTGTACAATATTAATAAAATTGTAGGTTTTGAACAATTAAGCTTAATACTGTATTTTCCACGAGATAATTAAAAAAACAAATGAATCTGTGGACATTTTTCAAATCATGGTTGTTTTAAAGTGCTATATATTCACATTATAGATAGAGATTAAGTAAGTTTCAAGAACAACCTAGATATTCACCAAGGAATTTAGACCCTTTAAATCAGGGATGGGCATAAAAATTGGTTGGAGGGCCAAAGTGAATTTCTGATTTAACACTGTGGGCCGAACCCAAAATTTGATGTTTTCAATGAGCTTCCAAAAACCTCCAAGCACTGCTTATACACTACTTTATTCTCAGATTTAATGTTACTTTTTACATGATCAGTGTCGGGCCGTAAAAAGCGATGTTTTCTAGCCAATTTTCCTTGGCGGGCCGCAAACATAGGGTTTTTAATTCGTTGTCGCGCCGGCTGAAAGAAAAACGCTGTTGGGCCGCACTTTTCCCGCCTGTGCTTTAAATGATGTTTACCATCACAAACCACAGAATTTAAGAAGTGATTGATATGATAGAGGGGATATATTTTTATGGCACACACTGAAACAAGAATTTTGATGGAACAAGATATTGATGCATATATGAACACTTGTATGTAAGCAGTATGGTGTACTGATATTCTTTTTGAAATTTTGTGTGTGTGCTCCACTGCCATTTGTACATTTTAGCACAATCTTTCGTAAAATCCACCATTTGGTTAAAAAAGTGTATCATGCAGAAATATGAATTGTATTGTACCCTTTATGGATTATGTACACATGTCATGACATATATGTAATTATAACTGAATTTTATTAATTTTATTATATGTTAAGAACTTACTTAAATATACAGATAAAGCAATTCAAATATATTTTAAATTTAATTTTTTAATTTGTTAGCATGCCAGACAGTGCATCTTTAATGTATAGTATACATTTCTTTTCTATCTACAAAGTTTACTTTATAGCTGCAAGTGAAGTTGTACATATATTTACAATGTGAAGTTATTGAATGGATGTTAAATTTTTAGGTTTCATGTTTTTGTGTGTTCTTTAAATAGAAACTATTCTGATCAACTGGAGCAAGAAACAAACCATGCAAAAAACTCTTTTCATAGAGGGTTAAACTTCCAGCTTATCGTAGAAGGCTGGCTAATATTTAGGGCCCTCTTAAATATTTGAAATAATGAAATATTGTAAATGTGATATACGAAGCTTAAGCCGAGCACTCACTGTGTCATACGACGGTCGTACAACAAATCCAACTCCTCTCCTTATAGCTCTAGATGACACAACACCTGATTGCCGGTGTGATTCAGAATGGATCATAATAAAAAGCAAATTGTTGCACGTACATCATGGCGCTGCATTGAGTGCCCGGATTTTGGCTATATGTTCAGACACAATGATAACGTTAATCGAGTGATGTGAATTTGTGTACGGTGTGACGAACACCAGTATTATCGCACAATCACTGGCGTACGTTAATCCACCAACAGACCCAGATTAGCGTACGCCACTGAGTTACAGCAGTCACGCATCAATGATTTTGAACTCGGCCAGGATTTGACCCACAATGAATTTCGAACTGATCTTCCACTATATTGGGAAGCTGCTCTATATTCTGCAATTTATTATCTTTGTTAGGATGTGCTGTTTTAAATATTTCTAATGTACACTAGGTTAAAACAATTTTTAATATTTTTATTATGTTTTTTGTTTGTAACTTTTTATCAATATTAAGTCATTTGTTTTACTTTGTATAAAAGCATTGTACAGTAATTTTTTTTGGAAAAATAAATATTAGTTTGACATCAAAGATGTTTTTGTCATGCGATGAATTGCTGTGCTGTAAATTTATTTCAACCTAGACCCAGGAATTGGAAAGCAGACATGTTAAGTTACATCGGGTTTGAGTCACGCCAGAAACACATTCTTGAATAATCATCTTTCCTTAATACATTCAGAACATTATTTCTCCTCATATTTTAGCATATATTTAGTGTATAATTATTGGCAAGCTTATCTTGCGAGATAATTGCATAACATTCATTCTGAAGGTATTCATTGTTGATTTAGTTGTGATCAACATTTTCTAAGATGACTAAGAAGTCCAATTCTAGAGTGCCAGTCTTTGTTGCAGTGTCTTGAAATATATAGTGTAATAAAATTCCTCTGACGGGATTCGAACCTGCGACTTCCAGCTGTCAAGGCGAGTGTCATAACCATTTTTTATATATATTGTATATATATATATTTATATATACTATACTATATACTACTATGATTCTATATATATTTTTTATACATAGTTTATATTTACATGCCTCTACTTGATTTATCTTTATACAGTATTACTTACATATTGACATTTTTTATCCTTTAGTATATCCTGCTTACTACTCTTAGTATGATGCTCATTACATATGCTCCATAATATTGTTTATCTTAATTAAGCCTATTGAACGAAATAACTATTTTATCACCTTCTATTGTTTAATTACCCAGCCTCTATTGTATAATTACTAAGCCATTTGCAATGTGAATCAGTTACGCTGATGAAGTCCTTAGGATGAGGACGAAATATTCGTTATAATAAAATATATTTATGTTCCGAAACACGTCAATTCATCTTT